GGGATAGCGATCAGGTATCGTCCTCTCGTTCAATTTGCGAAATTTACGAGCGGTTGCCCGCTTCGTCAGTGCCCTTTTTGTCTACTACCCATATTGGGTTATTGTAGGGGGACTTTGGCTTTTGTATTATGGCATTTTTTAGCAACTCTTGGATTTCGCTATTGACAAAAGCCACTGGCCCCATTGGGTACGGGTAAAGCTTGGCATAAATGGGCTCATCACTAACCGACTTAATGGTAGCTGCCACCGACGTGTTGTAATGTAGGGCCTCGTTGGGGTCTGCAAAGCCTTTTATTCGTTCGCCAAGCATTTTGATAAAGGCTTCTCTAGCTAGAGGCGGCGCGTCCGAACAATCAATGTTTGTAAAATTGATGGCGCGATTGGAATTCTAACTTTTCTACTTCGGAGCCCTATTTGAGGTGACCGGAAGCTAGACAAAGCGATGCCCTGCCTGTTTTAACAGGTCTAGGTCAATTATGGCATCGAAGAAGGACAAATCTGGTAATATGAAGAACGTGGTCTTCAAGTTGAATGGAAGACAAAGCACTTCTAAGTGATGGTGGTGACGCCATTAACTGCGCTTGAGGCCCAAAATAAATGCACGGAGCGCGTCATCCCGGAATTGTTCGCATAAAATTCTTGCAGCCGATGCTTCGTACGACATGGTAGTTTTATTTGTGAGCAAGTTGAGCCTTTTCTCAACCTCGTCATAGTACTGTAGGAGTGTGAGCCTTCCCTGCCTGAGGGTGCCCATCTCCTGCTCGATGACATGAATCTGGCGTTTGTCACTGTATGTGAAATGGTGACGATCTATGATCGCATCAAAATTCAATATAGTGCCAATTGAGGATAGCACTGCATCGGCAGGGCCTCTTATTTTACTTACTCCTAATTATTACAACCGCCTGGTAGTGGAGTGAGCTATTTACGTAACTTCTAAATATAAAATATTCGGCTACTGCCGCTTGCCGCCAAGAGACATATGTCTCTTGTGCCCCCGTAAATTTGGGCAGGAATTTAACGGCGTCCAGGGGCTTGTTACATTGAACATCGCCTGTGATATCAATTGGTTTATACACTTCGATTTAAGGAGCTGCCTGAATTACAGCTTTAAGCTGTTCTGGGTCCATAATTTCTACTGAAGGCGGGTTAGCGGGTGCCCGTATTGGGGCGGAAGTACTCGGGGGCCCTTCACTATCAGCTGTTGGCATGGCAAGGGGTATGCGGGGACGGAGCCGCCGCCTTAGTAAAGAAATGCCCGCTCAAGCTATTTTGCCCATGGAGGCAGTTGAAATGGCAAGGGGTATGCGAGGACGGACCCGCCGCCTTAGCAACGATGTATGTGAGCTCGTCGAACCGAGCTGCCGCCTTGTCAAGCACTGGCAAGGTGAGGAGTACGCGGGTCTGAGCCTCCGCTACGATAAACCAAGAAGTGAAGAACAACAAATTGCCATGCAAATGTATATGCGGCGGTATCGGATTCACAGCAGTGGAGTGGGGACAATAAAAAAGAAACTGGACTGCTAATATCAAGAATTTTTATTTGAGCAAAGCGACACAAAAACTGAATTAAATGTCCACAAAAAACAAAACAGTCAGACGGTGTTTATTTTATATTTATTTTTAAATAATTTATGCTCAATAAGAATTCTAATTTTATGTATTACGTAATAGGAGCCCCGGCTCAGATATTTAAACGTCACAATATATGTATTGTTTCACCAAAATATTTATTCGCACATAAAGAAATAAGAATCACCAAAATATTTATTTACTCAGAAAAAAACAACATGTAAACAACATGCAAAAAAATAGGGACCATTAATAATATATTTTAATAATATATAATTATTACGCAATTTAATTTCAATCAATTAATGAGAGATTAAGCATGATATTAATAAGCAGTATTAATAATGGAGCTGCAGATGCTTTCTTACAGTGTACGACGGCTGTCTGATAAATAACCGACCTCAACGTGAAGCTAGCGGCACATCTGAAAAAAAGTTTCTACTTTAAATTGTGCATACTATATTAGCTACTCGGCAAAATTTCAGAAATTTATCTTGCGCAATTATCTGTTAACAGTCGTTTTTGTGAGTCTATTTCGGTGATTTCCCCAAAATGAAAAAAAATTGAATATCGAACTGTAATTAAATTTTTATTTTTGAAAGGCAATACGCCTTCACAAATCAAAGATGAGTTGGACTCTGTGTATGGTGACTCTGCACCATCGTTTACCACCGTAAAATGTTGGGCAGCTGAATTTAAACGTGGTCGCAGGAGCTTGGAAGATGATGAACGTCCTGGGCGTCCAAAAACTGTAACCACTAACGATAACATCACTAAAGTTCATCAATTGGCACTATACGACCGCCGGATTAAAGTTAGGAAAATAGCTGAGATTATGAAGATGTCAAAAGAACGTGTTTGTCACATATTAAACCAAGATTTGGGCATGAGAAAGCTGTGCGCGCGTTGGGTGCCGCGTTTGCTTACGCTAGACCACAAACGTGCATTTCCAGCGTTCTGTTGGCTCAGTTTAGAGGCAATAAGACCGAGTTTTTGCGCCGATTAATAACTGTAGACGAAACTTGGATTCATCATTATACGCCCGAAACAAAAATCCAATCTAAACAGTGGATTGAAAAGGGGGAACCGGCCCCAAAAAAACCTAAAGCTGAGTATTCGGCTGGGAAAGTGATGGCGAGTGTTTTTTGGGACAGCCATGGAATTATTTTTATCGACTATCTTGAAAAGGGAAAACTATAACAGGAGCATACTACGTATCATTATTGGACAAGCTAATGGAAGAAATTTCGAAAAATCGGCCACATTTGCAAAAAAAGAAAGTCTTGTTCCACCAAGACAACGCACCATCTCACACCCCAACAGTCGCCATGGCGAAAATCCACGAATTGCGGTTCGAACTGCTTTACCATCCACCTTATTCACCGGATCTAGCACCAAGGGACTTTTTTTTGTTTCCTCAACTTAAAACTGCGCTCGGCGGCCAGCGATTTTCGTCAAATGAGGAGGCAAGCTCTTTCGTGAACTCGTATTTTGCAGACAAAGACGTCAAGTACTATTTGGAAGGGTTGCAGAGATGGGAGCATCGCTGGGCAAAGGGCGGCCGCTCGATATGTAAAATTAATTCTAAGACTGAAGCCAAATAAAGCGGACAGAGTCCAAGCACATATTAGTGAATTTACCCCGACGCCCCCGGGAGTGAACATTCATTCGGATCGCTATTTTTCTTGGTGCTTTGAGCAGAACTTGCTACGGAAGAGTTCCCCAGCCGAAGAGAAATCATAGCTGCCACGCAAATATGCTGTGTTTGCCGGCTATGCACGGTCATCCGGCCAGACGCTATGTCAGCATTTTGGCCGGATCGAGCTCGAACGATCGGTCATTGCCGTCGCCCGGTTAAGGGGGTTTCCTGAATTAGGAGGCAAAAAAAATCAATTTTTTTTTATTGCTTAAATCGATAGATAAACTATCTAAGAACATACCACAAAAATTTCAGAAGCCAATTCGAAGTATTTTCGAAGATACAGAGATGAAAGCAAAGGAGCGCCGAGCAGGTTTGCAGGCGCTTGGCGAACTTTGAGGCGTGTTTTCTCCACTTTCATTTTTACGATTCTTTCGAATTGGCGGGAAAGATAACAAAAAAACTTATTGACCGATTGAAACGAATAAAGGCTTATTCTCTTTAGAATTAAATTCTCTTCTAAATGAACTAAAATGGTTGTTGAAAACCGCTTTTTATATTTTTTACAGCACGTTAAAGTCAATATTGCATTTTTCGGGATAAAATATTGAATTTAACATGCTGTAAAAAATATAAAAAGTATATTTTTTACAGCATGTTTTGTGGTATATTCTTAGATAGTTTATCTATCGATTTAAGCAATAAAAAAATCGATTTTTTTTTGCCTCCTAATTCAGGAAACCCCCTTAACTTAGTTAACTTATATGTGTGTGTATTAGGTAGTGTGTCTGCTTGTAGCAAGCAAAGCAGCCAAAACAAAAATGTTATTTAAACTGAATAAAAAATATTTATAAACCCCAAAGAAGAGGGAATTTGGATGTTTAGTCTGAGTAAGTTGCTTGAAAAATCTTAACAAATAGATCGGAAATTGGGAGCGCCACTCTAGCTAAACTTTCGCCGGGTCAGTTACAAAACTAAGATTAAGCAAGCGCTCTAACAAAGATGGCTGAATGGGCTGATGTGGGAGTAATTAAATAGTTTCGACTGTTTAGGCTTTCAGCAACAGCAAAACCACAGACTGCGTCAGATTTTATCCGCACTAATTTAAAATGAATTAGATGACAAGAAATTTGAGTTTCTGAAATGATTTTTCTCTAACAAAGGGCAAATACCCCGAAAAGCGTGCATGATATAGGCTCTAGGAAATTATACGATAAGGTAGAAGGCGTTTTATATTAAAAAATGCACCCAGTAGACAAGTAGATATAGGAAAACACCAAGTGAATGGTCAAATTTGCACTGCCAAGAAAAAGAATGAAATCAGAGTTGCACTAGAAAACTATCGCCTAACTATAGCTAACAGAAGTGCATGAAATTTAGATGCTCAACGGATGCGCAACAAAATGTGAAATTGCGGAACGGCAAAACCTTATGGACCGGCCATCTGTTTAACGGATGGGGGATGCAGATGCAAGAAGAACCATCCGTTGTGCACCTAAATTTGCAGGCCTTCTGTTGGCGATAGTTTTTCGGTGCAACTCTGATTACTTCTTTTTAACAGTGAAAATTGAACCATTTACTACGAAAATGTGAACAAAGATGGCGAGGAGCAATTAAAATATGAAATTTGAAATGTGGTGGGAACACAAGTTTCACATCTGCGAAAAATCCCAATTGTTTTACACATATGCACTGAGTGGGAAGAACTATAAGAAACCAAATTGTATACAATAAAGCATATTAATTTCATTTCTTTATTTAAATTGTAAATATTTTTATATCGTTTAAGGTATCAAAACAACTCAAATTTTTGGAACAAACTCATAAGCTCTGCGACTGGAATGTTTTCTACTCAAGATGGTTACGAGATGGTTAAATCTTTTTACAACCAACATATTGGAGAATTCGGCACTGCTCAACACATAATTGAGAAGTCAATTCGAAACATTAAGGTGGAAGTTGTTTGGAGTGAGCAGAATTTGCCAATTATTGAAAAGTGGATAGAAAAATTTTTATCTAAACAGAATCAATAGATCTTAATTGAAAGCTTGTATGGTTGAATTAGATATGCGAAAATAAAAACATAATTTTATAAATAACTAAGATAGATTTGAAAAATCTAATTATTCTGACGGGATTTTTAACATTTAAACCGAACCATGTATTAATATGTTTTACATCGAGAGCGGTGCAAGTAAACTTAAGTAAACTTTTTAATGGGTTTTTTTACAGTACCCAATTGACATACCAAAACAATTTAATAGGAAAAGTTATTAATTTTTGTGGTGGCTACGGGAGTTGACATAACTCACCCGACTCTGATGGCCGTGGCCCTGGTCAAGAGTAGCTTATAAGGTCTTCCCACAGAGCTTGCATCTGCATCCCCCATCCGTAAATACTATTATGATACTAGCGCATTAATTAGAGATTTCATTAAAGATTTGACAGCACTATAGCGATTTACAGAAGAGTGACCAAGACGACTATATGGCACTTTAATGCATTAAAATAATACATTAGCTACTTCATTGCCGCGAAAATCGTAGATCTACATAAAATATACGAGATACTAGACTTGGAACGATAACCAATTACGGTTTTAATAAAGAAAATTGTAATTGAAAAGTGTATTAGCAAGTTCATTAGAGGACGAAACTCAAAGTGGTCTCGCAATGAGAATTTTATTAGAAAATTAGGGAAAATACTATGTTTTCGGTTCCAAGGCTCTTGCGCTGTAAAATTAATTTAAGGGGGGACATCTGAGTAACTTTTTTTAAAAATCGAAATTTTTTTTTTGCTTAAAAAATACTTTAGGGTCTTAAAAATAACATATCTAAAGATAGAGTCCGGCAAAAGTTTCTAAGTGTCGAAATTTTCCATTCTGCGGCGATGCCTCACATGTAATCATATACGATTTTAAAACTTTAAACGCGTTATTCTCAAAACCACTTTTTTTGAGTTGGCCGGAAACCTAACTCGAACAAATCTTAACCGATCGATCTGAAATTTTGACAGTATATTCAAAATACCTATGGCTATGGACACACGTAGGATTTTTTTTTTACTTTTTTTTTTTATCAACAATTTTGTGACGTTTTTTTCTCATGAAAATTGAAAATTTTATTTAATCAGTCTAGAGGTTTACGCCGATGGTTAAAGGCATCGGCGGCGGCGTAGAGGTCAAAATGACTCGGCGGCGGCGGCGTAGTAGTCAGAAAGAACCGGCGGCGGCGGCGCGTCAAATAAGGCAAAAAGGCCATTTTAATGAGTTATTTATTTTTTTTAAAGTTTTATAAAGAACAATGACACTGAAGGCCGCGCTGAAGCTGCGCCGATGCCGCACCAGCGGCGCGCCGCGGCGCGCCGTTATTTTCATAATTTGGCGGCGGCGCGTCAAATAAGGCAAAAATCGGCGGCGGCGGCGGCGTGGCGCGGCGGCGTATATGTCTAAATCAGTCACCATTTTGCTAAAAATCAAAATATCGAAAAAATCCTACGTGTGTCGATAGCGGTTGAGATAAAGAATATAACAAAATTTGATTTTTTGTTCTTGATCAAAAATTAAGGACGTTAGGTTTCCGGCCATGGACCCCTTTCAAAAAAATAGGGCCTTCGAAGAAATGCTGCACAGCCGCCATTTTGTTTTCGATTTATTCCAAAAAAATGTATTTCGTACTTCACATATAACATTATCAAACCTAATTAAAAATTTTTCGATTTGCTTTTTCATTTGGCCAAAAAAAAATTCTTGAAAATCGGTTTTTTTTTTGGCCAGTTACTCAGATGTCCCCCCTTAAATAATTTTTTTTTGCTAATAATTAAAAAAATTTTTGGCATTATAGGTTAAAAAAATAAATTTAAACGTTTCCGCATTAATTTATGCGTGAATACTTCGACAAGGAATTCAGGAATTCTTAGTAATACGCCGCGAATGGCAGCCGTTTTTATTGTTTACCTTTTTCGATCGGTGTGACCGTTGTCATCTCACCCAAATAATTTAAGAAAAGTAAAACGTATAGTTGTCTCTTTCAAGGTCCTAATGAAGTAGCTGATTAATGAAAACTGCATTAGAGTATCATAGGGCCATAAACAGATGGTCCATATAGTTTTCCGTCCTAAAAATGTCTCATTTTGTACCGCATCCGTTGTGCATGTAAATTTGCCGACCTTCTGTTGGTTTCTTCTTCTTGACAATAAAAATTTAGCCATTCACTAAGAAAATGTAAGCAAAAATTCGTAGAAACACTTGAATTGTGGAATTTAAAATATGGCGCCAAAGCTGCAGGCATGCCCAAACAAAAATCGTTGTTGCTTTCCTGTATTATCTTGCCCCAAAATATCCCCAACTGCTACTTTTTAATATAACCGCCTACTTTTACTTTATTGTATATATTTTGGAAGCCTATATCATTACGCTCTTCTGGGCCCTTTTTTAGAGAAAAATCATTTCAGAAACTCAAATTGCTCGTCATCTAATAATTTTAATTTAGTGCGGATGAAAACTGTCGCAGTCTGGGGTTTTACTGTTGTTAAAAAGCCTAAATAGTTGATATACTATTTTTTTTATCTTAGTTTTGTCTCTGACACGGCGAGAGTAAGACATTGGGAGTAATTCGCGGAATATATCTGTTCACGCCAAAAGTGCCCTTAATTTCGGGAGGCGGTGTGATCGCGCTACCAACCTCTTATGATCCCGTACGCTCTCTCCCTTCGGACTTCCAGTCCATAAAGCTTCCAATACGCTTTCCCAAGCTAGGTTTAAGTTTCTTTGTATTTTTTTGTTTTACATACTGTTGCATTCGGGCGGTAATCGAAACAGGCGAAACAAATATCGTCTGGGATGCGCACCGAGGATAGGTTAGCAGGTCCAGGAAGAGGGGAAGTGAATCGCATCTCAAGCGTCTCATACGATCCACACCAAAGGGGAAGTGTGGGAGGTAGGTGCCGATCGGCAGAGAGGCTAGCTACACCCACCCCAAGGCACCAAAGAGCACTGGCCTTGGAAGCGGTTCTCGACCCCGGGTGAGAGAGGCGAGAAAAGTGGGTAAAGGAATTGGTGGGAACCGCGCCTATTTAGGGCAAGGTGATCGCTAAAAGCCGGAAAAAAACCTAAAAACCTAAAAACCGCAAAAAAAAAGCCGCAAAAAAAACCAAAAAGTATTTTACGGGAAAGTAGGAATATATATATATTTTGGACGGAAGAAAAAAAAAAGAAACAAACCACTAGGAGGAGACTAAACGGAAGGCAACCGGAGCCAGCAGAGAGGCCACGAGGACGACCAGGAGCCGGTCGCCAGGCAACCAGAAGAAAGAAGGGATACAGCTAGGCAGGAAAAAAGTGAGTCCGTTCCAAATGGAACAAAAAATTAGAATTTAAACATGGACACGTTCACAGGACCCTAGCTGCCTCCTGGAGGAGAAAGTTCTGGGGGGGGAGTAAAGAGAAAAAAATCGGACCCTGTAATGGGCAGCATTGGACAAAAAGGTTAAAGTTGTAAAATTCAAAAGATTTGACATACGCGCTTTACGATAGACATATCTTATTCTCCAGCCCTATTCGATCACAATCAGCTGTGCGAAATTGACAGATGACAGCACGAATTTATCGATTAAGCATCATTTCCGACACGATCAAAACATCCGCCTTCTTCCTTTTTTCGCTGCAACGCCGAACGCTACAGAAGTGTAGATCTGCGAGCGAACTTAATAAACAAGTGCCACGTGTGCGTTTGCCAATTAACTACAAGGCATCGGCCGTTGCATCCGACCAGTTAACCATCCGCCAGTGTCGCGCACCGGTTTTGGGTAATTATTTTGAGACTTCAAGCCATTTGCACTTGCATTAATATTAGTTTCATATAGAGACAGCGAAATACCGCGTGCTTTCTCGGCTTGCAAGCCTACATACAGGCTAAGGAACTTTCTGGAGCTCAAGCGTACCGCAGTGTACTCTGCATCATCCTCAGTCGGTAAATAGTTTTCTTATATGACTGAAAGCTCTCTCCGTAACCACGGTTGTTTTTATAGTCGAACCTTCCTATAAGGGCCAGCGGAATATTGCCAGAGGTGAAGCGAAAACCTTTGCGACTCTGCCCGCGAATCTGCTCGATGGCCAGGAGCCCCGATTACGTCATCGGCGTCGGATTACTTATTTTCCTTTCCGCGCTTCGCCAGCTGCGGCAGAGGAAGGGAGACGACAAACGCTGTGGCCAGGGACCGCAATTTTCGGCCAGCGCGTGACGAAGGCGTAGAATCGGAGTAAATTCCTCCAGAAATAAAAACCGGCACTAGATCCGGAGCGCAGATTTAGTTAGGTTTTATGCAACTGTAAAAGCTTAGCGTTCTTAATCAAATTTGGCTTGTTTGAGCCTCGGAAAACGGTAGTGTGTATCTAGAGTGCATGCGCCAGCTAAGCGAACGCGATTGCGTAAACTTGACCTAGGTTCATGTGCCCTACAAATCCGCACAACCAGACATAAATAACGCGATAGGCAGGATCGATTAAACTAATCATTTATGTTGCATTAAATTAACAATCCTTTAAACAAACGCTAACAGCTGGTCATCCAAGTCATCGTGAAGGCCTTCAACGAGGATCGCATGGGGTAAGCGATCCAAACTGTATATATATATATATAAACACCAATTTAATGTGACATAATATGATCATACAAAACGGCCGCTGCTACCGTGAAGAGCCATAAGCTCTGTCCGTTATTCTTTACTGTTTGTTTGTTTTGGACTGCAAATTTAGGGACACTTCCAATTGCGTATAAATGCTCATCCAGCAGCACTAGTATTGAGTGGGTAATGATCATTACCGAATCTTAATTCTCCTTAAGCTTTTGTTGCTATATTCTTGGGTAGTGTATGCATCGCGGATCTCTATTGCTACCAGCACCAACGTAGTTATGAAGATTAAAAATTTGAACTATGAATAGGAACGCGTAGTTTTATTCTGCTTTTTGCTAACTTTATCAGAAAATATGTAAATAAAAGACAAGTAAATTAGAAACTAATCATTAAGTCATCGTTTAAAAACATTTGTAGTCGCAATGAAAGCATAAATGAATCGCAACTGAATTCTCTA